CACCCCCCAAAGTCTGTAAAATTCAACTTATAAATGTAAATTAAAATTCTGAGACTACAATTGTAAAAACTGATCGGAACACACTAATAACGCTGTCGTCTTAAGCAATGTCCAAATTCCCCTATACTTACAATTAGAGTGTTATGCCTTACATATATTTTTTTAGTATTTAATTATTTATACATTTCCTCGGATTTAAAATACATATAATGTTCCTATATTTCCTCATAAAAATTAACTTTTATGGAGAGACCCCTAATTATGTTTTCCAGAGAACGGACGGAGGCCAGAGGCCGATTTGGTGGGTGTTCTCAGGAATGGGTTCTCAATGGAACGGTATGGGTTCTCAGCTGATGCACATTCCAATCTTCCGCGACGTCATCAACAGGTGTGACAGTGTTCTCGCACCACATGGCGTGGACATCAAACATATCTTAACGTCCAAAGATAAGGACATCTTTGATAATATTTTGCACGCCTTCGTTGGTATCACTGCTGTTCAAGTAAGCGAAAAGAATAATTGCTGTTACAGCTTCACTTTTAAATTTTGTTGGGGGCTAAATTTTTTTAGCCGGGTTATATGTTGAATAATACAAACAAGAAAAATAAAATTATGCATTCATTAAATCTGAGATTACTACAAATTAGTGAATAAGAATGAATTAACACGGTGAATTAATGAGGCTCAACGGTGAAACAAATCACGAGCGCGCATCCCAAGTAAAAGTGAATCAGCCTGACGTCAGGCTATGTTTCATAAACTACCCTGAGTCAGACTGAATCAGGCTGATTTCAGACTGATGTCAAACTGATGTCAGCCTGAATCAGTCAGACTCAGGGTAGTTTATGAAACATAGCCTGACGTGTAGTTGACTCACTTCTACTAGGGATACATCTATGCGTCGATCAAATGTTCTACATTTTGCACCTCACTCTACATTTTTCATGAGATTTTTGCGCATTTCTGATTTTTTCCCGCTTTAAAGAATTCACTACAGCAAGGGATCAAGGCCGGATTCACCTAGTTGCCGCCCATGGGCCGCCTATATTTTGCCGCACCCTTCTCATTCGTTTTGAAACTTGATAAAAACTATCAAGTGAACGTGCCAGCGAGAGAGGGGTGCATGAGACGCATTTACTCGTGTTGAACACATTTTTTGGGAAAGCCCTGTCAACACTACTAGCAAAAGTTCACGAAACTTTGCGCGAAAATTAAGTTCCGTAAACCTATTTCTGTGTGGACAAGGTCTTCCATTCATAAGAAATGAACGAAAAAATTATGAAAGAACAAACATAAATGTGGTTCAATGATTTTAACTTCCACCGCCGCGCCGCGCAGACCGCACCGTGTGCTGTGTGTTTCACGCTGACTGCACTGTGTTTGGCGCAATGCGTGAAGTATTCATGCATTCTTGTAGGCGCTATCCGTTTCACGCTGACCGCAATGCGACCGCACTGTGTTTGATGCAATGCGTGAAGTATTCGTGCAGTCTTGTAGGCGCTAATATGTGTTACATGTCGATCGCCGCGCCGAGGGCTTCTCCTTTTCATCTCAAGTCCTCGTTATCATTTTTCTCTAAGTCACGCCGTTGTAGGCCAAATTGCGTGTTTGGTTTCTCTCGCAACTCGACTTATTGAGGGTGCTGCCTCTTGTATCACTAAGGGACGGCAAAATTAGAAATTACTTTACTCTCAGGAAATGAGAGATTTTGCCGCCTTTTCTTGTTTGTAATTTTGTTTTTATAAATTCGATTTGTTTATACCTACACTTTAAAACATTTCAAATTTTCGCCGCCCCTTAGATTTGCCGCCATGGGCCGCGGCCCATGTGGCCACCCCCTTAATCCAGCCCTGCAAAGGATGAGGAACCTCTATTTTACAATCCCGTGCACAGATCAAAATTCAAAATAACCACCGTCATACTATTATCTAGTTTTTCAATGAATGGGAAAAACAAACAAAGAAGCATACGTGCTCATTCAACATACTTGCATTCCTGTCTCTTAATTTGCGCTCAACACGGACTCGCCCTTTTGTTGTTTGTTCTATTTTACGGAACTGCGTTACGAAAGATTCTCAAATACAAAGTTCTGTATGACATATATTTCGAACAAAATAGCTTTTTAAGGGTACATTTTAGGAGTGTAATGGTACTTTATTGGTTCCAGTTAGGATTTGTCGAACTACTACGAGCATTGAAGCTGGAGCCTGAGGGAATAGTAGGACATTCTGTCGGAGAATTGGGGTGTGCTTACGCCGATAACTGTCTAACCCTTGAACAAACCATTTTAGCTGCGCATGCACGTGGAAGAGCATCACTGGAGTCAACCCTTATTAAAGGGATGATGGCTGCCGTTGGTACGTTACAATCCTTGTACTTAAAATATCTGGGTACCTATACTCTAAAAGACAGAGCAGAAATTATACACCAATATGCGAGTCAGTCCCAAATTCTCCATTTCAAGGCTTCCACAATGATTAACCTGATTTACTGTCAAGTGGAACGAAAAGAAATGCGAAGTGGAAAAAACAGACCATTATTTTAGTCCTGCGAGTTAAGAAAATGTGAAGTCAAAATATTTCAATAGAGCTTAAGTCTATCTGTGATGGACAATTTAACACCTGTTTTTTCTAGTGCATGCCATCTGATACTTTTATATTCCTTTCTTTAATGCATCCCCTTTTATTTTTCGGCGTGAGTGACAGGATACCTCAGTTCAAAAAGTGAAAGAGAACGTAAAAAAAATCATGGTATCTATATCAATATTGGTGGATAATCCTGTTTTAAAAACAAAGCTGAGAGCAAAATACGAGGTCTTTTAACATCATATGATGTAAAATACACACTTTTTTACCCTTGGTGATCGACATACAAGTATGTTTGAGCCAGGAGTAGTGGTGCGAAATGAGCTATCGGATTTTAAACGGTGGTGTGCATCGACCTCAATTTTGCGCAATATCATTAATAATTATGAATTTTTTTCATTTTTTTCCAATTATTAATAGGATTGAGCCACAAAGATATCACGGGTCAACTACCGAAATCCATAGATGTTGCATGTAGAAATTCGGACTCAAGTTGCACGATATCCGGCCCTGCAGCGGACGTCGAAAAATTCGTCTCCGAATTGACCTCACAGAAAGTTTTTGCACGAAGTGTGAACGTTGCAAACATTGCATACCATTCTCGATATATTCAACCCGCCGCGCCAATCTTACTCAAATATTTGAAAGAGGTGAGGCAATCAATTTTGGAAATTTTTGTTGTACTTTACTTAGTCTTGCTCAACCTGGTTCCCGTGCCCTTTCACCCATTAAAAGTCTCCTCAGTTGGCTGTATCCTCTGTGAATAACAGACCCCCCCCCCCCNCCCCTGTAGAATATAGTGCTAAATAAAGGTAATAAACGTAATGAAAGTAAACAAAATACTACCGATGCATACTTTTATGATGATGCTGATTGTGCAAGGTCTTGAGTTTTCCAATTTAACAGCCCACTCTTTATACTCAGCTCTTTAAATAGCAATAAAAATGGCTTCATGATTTTGTTGAAAAAGAGCAATTTTCATGTATTTTCGTAGGTCATTTTATTACCAATTCCAATTTTACTCTTAAAAGGCTAAGAATGAGGTTTTTCTATAGTCCTTTGAGAAAACAGACTATCTGCTAGGGCAATCATTCACACTGATTTCCAATAACTTAATCGCATCATACTTATTTTACCTCAATAAATATCAAATAATGTGAGAAAATTATAAGTATCTTATTAGACGCTTTCCAAGGACCTTAATTGTAGGCAAGATAAAAATCGTTCAACTACAGCTAAGCTAAAAAAAATCAAGCCTTACTCGGGCCTGGAACACTGAATTTTTTAAAGCTGGATAAATATAATGATGCATTTCGTCAGGTCATTCCGGAAAACACAGCAAGGTCATCAAAATGGATCAGTAGCTCAATTCCAAGGGAAGACTGGGCTTCAGACTTAGCCACTTACAGTTCTCCGGAGTACCACACAAACAATCTGCTGAGCCCTGTTCTCTTTGAAGATGCTATCAAGTCAATACCATCGAACGCAGTTTTAATCGAAATCGCACCACACGGACTGCTCCAGGCCATCCTCAAACGTGCTATGCCTACACAAGTTACCAATGTTCCACTTACCCATCGATCTAGTCCAGACGGCGTCAAATTTCTCTTGGAGGCTATCGGACAGTAAGTAATCTTCATGCCATTCAATATTTTGCAAGTTGGCAACACAGTCATTCCTCCATTTAAATGTACATGTGAAACAATCGATACTTGACTTGGGGGAAAATCCTCCATTGTGTAACGTAACACTGATTCTGATCAGAGCCACCCATGCAAACTGTAATTTAACAGCTCTAATGGCTGAAGTGCCTTATACCAATGTAATACAGTTTTCCTGATTTGTTAAAGGTTATGTCTGCTTGGATGTGAACCAAACGTGTCAGCTCTGTATCCACCTGTTCAGTTTCCCGTGCCGCGAGACACGCCCAGCCTTCAGCCGTTCGTCACATGGGATCATTCAGAGACGTACGATCTTCCAAACTATATGGTAAACGGTTTAAATGGTAACGGTTTCTATAATATGAGCAATTAGACCATGTTTAGCAGAAAAGAACCGACTTCTTGGCTTATTCCAGGAATGACAAGTTTATCATTCAATCCTCTTAAGCGGAAGGATTCGATCTATTTCATTTTATAAGTGGCAATTGGACCGCGTTAAGCAGAAAGGAACCAATCCACATCAGCTATTGCCAAGTTTATAATTGGGCGATTCAATTTTTTTGCATTAAAACGGTTGCGCGGATTTTTGTGCACATTTCAGTGAATTTTCTACGCAGCACGAAGCAAATTCCTTAGAATTTTCAAAGGTATTCGCACAAAAGTTCTCTTGTAAAATATTTTATTGCCAAGTTAAAGGCAAAAGCTTATCGACGGTGAAACTACCAAACCACGTATCTCGTTTGCGGTGTTTAAAAATCTCCGCTCACATTTCATTTTTTTGAAGTAGACCAAATCAATATCATTCCTTGAAATTTTCACAGAATATTCTCCGCACGAAGAGGAAAAATCACGGAAATTTTCAAGACTGGACGTTAAGTAGCTTTTCATTTAAAAAATACAGTATGACAGGAAGTCTGCGACGTCGCAAACCGAGATACGTGGTTTGGTAGTTTCACCGTCGTTATGTGGCTTGGTTCTTTTCTGCTAAACGTGGTCCAATTAATGACAGCCGTGATCAATGAATGTTCAGCAAATTCAATTATTCTTTTTCTTCATTGTCTCTTCTTTTAATTTTGTACACAGAAACACAACAGGGACAAAGATGCCACGGCAGTTTCGGAGAAGTGTTTTCCTTTGAAAGATATAATCGATGTTCTGAAGATGTACAGGGAAAAAGAGGTCCCCGTTTCTTGGCATTCTTTGATCTTGGTAAGCAATTTCAAAGTTCAAACTATTTCTTTTCACTTTTTAAAAGTCGATTCAGATTTAGAAAATCAATGAAAAAAATGACCAAAATTACTTTTTGAATTTATTTAATTTATATTCTTATCCATAAAAAGTATTGGCTTGGATGAAAAGCTACGACAATTCAACCCAAGTGCTCTGAACTTAGAGTTCCAATTTTATTAGTGTGTCCTCGCCCGATTTAGAAGCATATGCGCGAACGAACCAGGCTATACTCTATATCCTCTGGTGGAACCAAGCAATTTGGTTCTATGATACACAACGTATACAAAAAAAATCCAACACAGGGGTTATATATGTATTTAATTTTATAAGTAGGCAAGACTATTGTTAAAAAAAAAAGGAGAAGAAGAAGAAGAAGAAAGGTCATAATGGAGACTATAATTATTTAATCTGCATAATCAGAATTTTCAGCTCTAAAAGAATGTATGCTGATACTTAGAGAGACTCTGCGTTATTTATAAATTCCTTCAGTTCACTCAACCCTTAAAACATCGTAATATAATCACTTTTTTCTCTCTTTTTTTTGTTTCTTTTAGATTGAAGTGTGGAAAACTTTTGGAGCCATAGAAAAGAAAGAATTTAAAACGTTTCCCGCTGTCATCGACAACATTCAGATGTTTACAGAGCTGAATTTATCAGCAGATGGTAATAAAATCCGATACAAGAATCATTTAAAGAAGTACTTTAAAGTAGTTATTTATTTTTAAGTTTGTAAAGAAGTATTTTTTTCCATCAGATGTTACGATCTCTCTTAGGCAATTGGCTGAAAGAAGCAGATCGACCTTCGAGGCAGGAGAGAGCTGTGATGCTGGCAGAGATGGTCGCGATAGTTAGAAGCTATTGTTTTTAATCGATCAATTGAAGGTTATTTCACTGAGCTCTATTTAAAATATTTAAAAAAAATTACGTACTCTCGTTGTCGTATGATTTGAAAATTTCCAATTAATTGTGGTAGTGCCCAAATAAATTAGGTTACTAACCCAAATGTCACGGTACCACTCCAACTTGGGTTGCGGTTCTCGCACAATTAATGGCAAATGCCATCCATATCATCTAACAAATTGGGGTCTACCTCAATTTTAGCAGATAACCCAAAATATTTTGTTTTTTCGGTGAATGAGCTTCCATACATACATATGATTTATCTGACGATTTTAGTACATTCTCTTAGCTTATAAGTTTAGTCCTATTACGTTTTCAAATTCCAGGTCCAAGTCAAGTTTGGATTCAAATATTCCGCGGCAGTGGCGAATTCGTCGTGTTCCAAGATTCTCTGGGTGATAAATCGAATAATTCCCCTGATAAGCCTGAGACCGGTGGTGAGAATCAAGGCATTGTGCTCATGACGGGGAGAATCAACATTTGGGAGCGAGAATCGAAACCCAGTAAAGTCCCGTCTATTAACGATTTTCAAGAGACTCTGAACGAACACGATTCATACGGGCACTTCCTTGACTTTCTGGATTCAGTGGGCGGGACCCACGCAAAAGCAATAACGGACATTCATACCTGCTCAAAAGGCAAGTTTTTTCAGGAAGATTTAGTATAATGAAAAATATTCAGATATTTTATTAGAAATATTGTTTGATACTCGAGAGCTTGACAAACAGGATCGTGCCTTAGTCGTCAGTAGTGGTAGTAGTAGAAGATGAAAAAGAAGAAAATTAAAATTCCAAAAAATTGTTTTTCTTTTCATTAATAAGTAAATATTCACTGCGTAACCAACATATTCCGTGTAAGAGGCTAAACCGGGTGAGTCGATTGACGAGATCAACTTGCAACGTTTTACTAGGTACACGTGTACAACACAAAGCGACATTTTCTCATTCAATTTATCGTGTATTAGTACAGTTGCTAGTGTACATTTGTCTGCAGTATTGTGAAAAAGTTGTGTTCGATACATCAATCTCTTCGTCTTGATACGTAGAATCAGATTTTCGATGGTGTCAAGTTCAAAAATCAATCCGGCGCCCCCCATTCAAGATGGCGCCCAAAAGAGGCGCCGGGGGGTTGAAAAATTATAAATTTTCCTACAAAGTCGACTGAGGTGTCGATTTATGTGTAATTTTAGTCGTAGAATCCGAATTTCACATTCAAAAAATCCTCCGACCAAAGGGGGGGCCCCAATTCCAAGATGGCGGCCAAAATGGACCCCTTGGCGGGAAAATGGCCGTAGATGGCTGTGTATTCTGTATGAGACATCCTCAGATAGGTTTTCTGGGTCGGGAATAACGAATATGAGGTCATGTCAAAAAATGTCAAAACAGACATGGACAAGGTACACTTAGCCGCTGAGATAAGTTTTAGAAGAAAATAGGGTAAATCGCTATGGAGCAATCGCGAGTTGGCAGCCCCCTTCCTCCTCTAGACTTGAAAATTTCAATGGTTTTGCCTTTTCATTATTTTTATCGATCATGAATTCATTTTCACGTGCCCAACTGCCCATCCACACTCTTTTCTTTGCAAGTGGATTCCTAAGCTTTCATCTCAAGTGGGAATGTGTCTTGGTTAAGGGAAGAAAAGTTCCTCGATCTCATCCCAATTTAAAACGTACCCCGTCTTTTGAAAGTTTCCACTCTTCTTGAACTACACGCTCCTTCAGGTGCCGATATCACCGGATCTTTCATAAATAAAGGTTAACCGACAAGGTGGAAAACCTGAATGAATAATGTAAGCAATGACGTGTTGGAAGCTCTCGCGAAGTTGGGCTCCGGATTTTCTCTGGCTGAAGAGATTAGACAACACCTAGAGGAGTTCGTACGTCAACGATGTGCTCCAAAAACAGCTCTTAGAGATTTAGAAGAAGCAATGTAGTGGATTTTCTCGAAGAAATAATACCAGGATGAAAACCTCCCATTGACTAGACGGACCCTGTGTTTCTCAGAGCTCACCTCCAGGCGTCCATATTTTGCATCAAGTTAGGCAGCCCCTGGCATTGTAATCCAGATTTGGATTGTGGCAGGAAAAATACTGGAGAAAAAGTCAGTTAAGTCGTATGCCCTGGGCTACACTCAAAACATTTTTTCTTGAGATATTATTTTGACTTGAAGCGTCGTTTCTTGTCAACAACACTTGGTTTTTTGCGTTAAATTCTTGCGGATTGTACTTAAAATCTGTTTTTTGGAGTTAAATAAACGTTGTTTCACTATGTTTTTTTTTTTAACTAGAACTTAACGCTAGCAAAACAACGTTTGTTTAACTGAAAAAAACCAGATTTTGTCCATAAGAAACTCATTGTCGGTCAATATGATATCCTAAGAAAAATTGTTTAGTGCATGTGTTCCAGAGCTATGGAGCAATGGAGCTATGTCTGTGCAAATGTGCACAAAAAAGTTGCGCACCACCTTACACTTGTCGGACGCACGGTTTCAAGTATACCGAGATGTGCAAAGGCGACTTCGCCTTCAGGTACCTTTACTACGAACAACTCTGGATTACCTTTAGGTACTCCAGAATTCTGCGAAAAATTCGACCTTGAAGAAGAATACAAAGATGAAGGAGAAAGTATAACAATGTACACTGACACATAGTGACTCTTCACACGACAGAGAAGCGTTTTTTTCTGTCTTATAAGTCAATTAAATTTTCATTCTGGTCAGTGAAATGTAACTTAATTTATTTTAATGTGTTTAAAGGGAGTTATATTTATTCAAATTTATATTTATATATTTTGGTTGTTCTTACAAAAAAAATTTCCATTCAATTTTAAATGTTTAGGATTTTTTTTTTGGGCGTACATCTTCGTCTTAATTTTATTTTACTTATGGAAAGTTGCCGATGCAGCAAAAAATTTTCAGTAACATCCACTTTCCGAAAAACTCGGCCACTGGAGCCTAGATTTTTTATTCCTGCGGCCAAAATTCGGTAACACTGTCAAAAGCTACGCACAGCTATGCCGGGCTTTGGGCAATTTTTACGAATTTTAGCAGCTGGGACCACTAATTTTGGCCGCAGTTGCCAAGCTTTTTGGGATTTAGATACTGCCGAACACTTCTTGTATTGTGTATTCGAAATTTTTTGCCTGATTAAGTGCGATGGTTTTTCATTTACTCACTTTTGGCTGTAGAGGAAATATCTTGGGTTCCTAAACCCCCTTAATTAAAGTACTTTAGAAACTTTACTGTTTGTCGATTCAATGCTTTGAAGTATGAATAATGCTTGGCCAGCGTTTTTCAATCTATGAATTTAGGTTTGAATGATCTGTTGTGCTATGCCTGTTTTATTGATACTTTTGGAAAGTTACGGCTACTCCTAGAATAATCCGTGAATTTATAAAATATTTTGCATCAATATCTCAATTCATTTTTAGTTTGAAAAAGAAGTTGTTTGTGCCCCTAAAAAGGAAGTTTTTTGTGCCCCTTTGCTCATTCACATGGTATTCTGAATCATAATCTGAAACCTATAAAACATTTTTCGGAAGCACCCGCATCCCGGAAAACTCGCGACCTGGAACTGTTATTTTTGGTTCACGCTTCCGCAATACGACAAAGGTGCTGAAGTTAGGCACTAAGTTTGTGATGAACTTTCGGTAGTTTTGCCGACTTGCAGTACCCAGAAACGAAACTCTTGACTCCTAATTCCGACTTTTTCAGGATGAAGATATTGCAGGAAACTGGCTTACCGTGAACTTTGGGTTTAATTTCCTATATAATTTCCTACAAAATTTCCAAATAGTTCGGCATTATACAATCCAAAAACTATTATCTCGTGAGCAAATCTCGAGGTCAGGCACGTGAAAATGAATTCATGATCGATAAAAATAATGAAAAGGCAAAACCATTGAAATTTTCAAGTCTAGAGGAGGAAGGGGGCTGCCAACTCGCGATTGCTCCATAGCGATTTACCCTATTTTCTTCTAAAACTTATCTCAGCGGCTAAGTGTACCTTGTCCATGTCTGTTTTGACATTCATTATAATTACTTACTCGGAATTTTAAAGCCTCTGGATGGAGGATTGTAAGCTTCGAGGGGGAGAGGAGAAGGCCTTGGGGCCCCCTCCTCACCCCCTGCATCTCCCCGATGAACAAAGAACAATTTCTTATCTTATATTTGAAATTCCCTACGTATAAAACCTATTGGCATCTATTTCATACGGCGTATGAAGGTACCGATGGTCATTTTCCCACCATGAAGTCAATTTTGGCCGCCATATTGGATTTTGGGGCCCTCCCTTAGACTAGATGACCGTTTCAATGTGAAATTTGAGTTCTACGATCAAAATTACCTATAAATAGACATCCCACTCGGGGTATTGAGGAATTTCAAAATTTGTTGACCCCCGGCGGCCATTTTGGGGGGCACCCTGAGCCTCCCCGAAGGGTCTAGCACAATTTCTGACCTCATATTCGTTATTTCCGACCCAGAAAACCTGTCTGAGGATGTCTCATACAGAATACACAGCCATCTACGGCCATTTTCCCGCCAAGGGGTCCATTTTGGCCGCCATCTTGGAATTGGGGCCCCCCCTTTGGTCGGAGGATTTTTTGAATGTGAAATTCGGATTCTACGACTAAAATTACATATAAATCGACACCTCAGTCGACTTTGTAGGAAAATTTATAATTTTTCAACCCCCCGGCGCCTCTTTTGGGCGCCATCTTGAATGGGGGGCGCCAGATTGATTTTTGAACTTGACACCATCGAAAATCTGATTCTACGTATCAAGACGAAGAGATTGATGTATCGAACACAACTTTTTCACAATACTGCAGACAAATCATCTTTTTTGTACATTAGCAACTCCACTATATGCAACATAGACGACAGTCAAGCACGAATAGTTGCGTCAATGCGTTGACATCATCATCGCTCTGTCAGTCAACTGAAGTGCTACTAACTGCGCAGAGTACTGTGTAAGTGTAATGTCATTGCGAGAAAGAGTGTTGTGTAAACTTTTCTATATTCCTAGAATACTAATTTTATATTTACTTTTAAAAAAATTACCTATAATTCTCTCCTGAATTTTCAGCCCAATTGATAATCTCTGTTAAATCCAAAGATAGAAAATTCAGTTTTTATGAGGAAAACTTCTATTTTATCTGGAGAGACGTGACAACATGTTCATGTTTGTACGCTGTTTTTTCTCAGCACTAGAGCATTTTCGTACTTCAAAAACACAAATAAAATGATCTTAAAATTTTCAAACAACACGTAAGCATCACAGCGCGATTATTAATATTTTTTAATCAGATTAATCACTCAAGTGCAAACAATAATTATTAGCTTGACTATACGACAGTGTTTGTGAATCAACTATGATCATTAAATGGATGGAAATTAAATCAGAGTCTGATTTTTATAAAATCTATTTTCTCCACTGTGTTTTAATACCACCCAGGGTTGAGTTTTGGAAGACAACTTGCACAACTACAGCTCACTGACAAAATCTTCTTTTTTTCTCAACATGATAGGGTTGTTGGGAAAAATTAAAATAAGCCGAGACTGGATCGTTTACTTGGACAGAATTATGAACCTTAATATTATGTGGAACGCTCAAGCCACTAGACAGTTACCAAGACCTGCCTCAATTCAATCTATTAAACTTGATCCTGAGCAAGTGGACCGTCTGAAAACAGGTAAAATTAGATCTTTAGATTCATACAATTTTCATCTTTTGTTCGAGACTTAAGGTTGACATATTTTTTTCCTAGACCTACGTCTAAGTCGTTTCCCAGTCTCTAAATTACAATGTTACTTTTAGAATTAGTGGTTTCTAAATTAAAGCAGTAGAATTTAAATTTCAAAAATTAATTTTTGAAAAAAGAATACAAAAGGAGGGATTGAAAAAATTAATTCATACTTCGCGGCAATAAAAAATTAGATACTTCATTTTTGACGGAGAACGTTGTATGGGAGTTTCCTAATTTGTATCAATTTAGATATTCTTAATATTCCACAAAGTAACTGATTTTCCCTCTTGTGTTCCAGTTCCAGATGTTGAATTTTTCCTGAATACAGCTGTTAACTGTCTGCAGTGCATTGGAGTTACGATAAATGGTTTCAAAACTAATCCAGCGACAAAAATAGTTGAAAATTTGGATGATGTGCACGCAGAGAGGCTTAACTTTGTACCATATGGAAATAGCACATTTAAGGTAACAGCATATTTCCACCAATCTACTAAAAAGACAATTGAAGAAAAAAATACAAGTCTACGGTGACTTCTTTAAATTGCCCAACAACTTTTATTAATATTGAACCAGGATGAAAACGCGCACGAGACCACAGTGCGTGATTCGGAAAATTATCCTTAAAAAAAATAAAATTAAACAAGTTGGATTTTGCAATCGCTAGCGATAGCAATATTCGTCATGGGAACGTTAGCTTCTGGGATATGAAAATGTTAAGGTACAGTTCGTTTGTAGTATCTTCTGAATTGAAGGGGCTATGTAATTTTGTGTTGACATCTCTTTTTTAACATTTTTAATTATTTTCTTTGCATACAAGAAAGCTGTTATGTACCAATTATTTATTTTCGTTGGATTGTATATGGTTTTCGGAAGTTAACGCATTTAAGTTTCAGGTTCGCTTTTTCGGCGTAAAGTGTACATAAGGTGTCCCAAAAGCACCGGGACTTGTTCTGTAACTTCGAAAGTAAGATAGATACAGACATGATCTTGATTTCATTTTAAAGATCAACTCAATACCTATCGATTAAAACCAAGATCAGCTCAATCGGATAAAAATTGACCGAGTTATGGCAATTTGAAATCAGCGAGGAAAGTTTACGCCTACGGTTTTTAAGGAAGATTCTTCATCGCCGTAAATCGAAAAGTCGGCCGATAAAGTGATGCTTATTGTGTTTTTTTATTTTCGAGGTGTCATTTATCAACATTTTGTACCATCAAACACAACAGTTGACAGTGCGTATTATTGCAAAGTACTAAAGGAGTTGAGAATGCACATTTCCCGGAAACGGTCGGACTTGAAAGCTTCGTGGATACTCCATCAAGACAATGCGCGGCCTCACACATCGAGCTTAACACGTGAATTTATGAGTAAAAATGGAGTTGAAACAATCCCTCATCCCCCTAATAGCGCTGACTTGGCTCCATGTGATTTTTGGATGTTTCCCACGCTTAAAAAGGAGCTTCGCGGACGAAGATTCGTATCGAAGACCGAAATCCAGAATGCAATTCAAAACTTCTTCAACTCCATCCCAGAGGAAGAATTCAGGAAAACAATGTTGGATAAGTGGCAAGAGCGCATGAAAAAGTGCATCCGGTTTGATGGACGGTACTTTGAAAAGCAAAAGGAAATTATGGAAGATTCGGAGGAAAGTGGATACGAATATTAACTTTTTGAATCCTGGTAAGCGAAAAATCTTCCTAAAAACCGTAGGGGTAAACTTTCCTCACTAATTTCAAATTGTCATAACTCGGTCAATTTTTATTCGATTGAGCTGATCTTGGTTTTAATCGATAGGTATTGAGTTGATCTTTAAAATGAGACCAAAATCATGTCTGCATCTATCTTACTTTTGAAGTTACAGAACCAGTCCCGGTACTTTTGGGACACCCTACGTATGATATTTTTACTCTACACATATGCCCAAATACGCATCATAAGGGACCTATGTGCTTCCTAAGTTGCCAAGTATTAATTATTGTTAGATTATTGGTCTAAAACATTCAATACAACCAGTAAAAATTAGCTGTCCTCTACGAGATTCGAACCCCCGCTCCCACAAAAAGTGACGTTCTCCCAGAATCTGAACGGTGTTGTTGTTGACTGAGCTATCTCACCGCTCGGGAATGGGAGGAGAAATAGAGAACAGTTAAGTGATCTCGGACGCTGAGCGGGGCTTCACAAAAGACGTCCTTGAGATTTCAACGGTTCGGCCACTGGCGTGATAAGAGACAAATGGATCAAGCGCATTACTCTGTGAGACATTGTTTACCTATGCGGTCATGTGTCACAAGGTCCATCTCAGTATGCATTTACGATCGCGGCAGTAAGCTGAGGCAATATTTCTGTATTCATGGATTAAATCCATCAATCGAGTTCTGATTTTGGCTCATATATCCGTAACGGGTCCTCCAGAGCAATTTTCCACCTTGTACGATGGTTATTATTTCTTTACATCTATGTTTAAAATTTGAGGTGGGATAATGGCGGCTTCTCAAGAGCAACGAGGTAGGCGATCTTTTGCACCAACGAACAGAAAACTGATGGCGAAAAATAGCCAATGAAAACCTCCCAAAAAAAAGAATTTGCCTAAAAACGGAACTTCGTGGTTCTGCGCAGATTTACCAGTCAGACACGACATCTTAAGGTGGAAAAAAACTCGCTGAAAGCGAATTTTAGAAATCAACACAACTTGACGTAGAGACATGATTGGCTAAAAAATACAACGGTTTTTGATACATCGGAAAATCAACCAAAAATCGGAGACTGGGCGAAACGCTCAAGGTCGCAGAGGTATAGGGAATCCCATTGCGAAAGCAACGGAACGATTGTAATATCATGGGGAACTCCGTTCCCATGACAAAATAACTGCGAACGTGGAAAACTTGGGAAACATGATACTGACAACTCATATTTTGGATTCACCTACTTTCCGCCCGTATTTTGCCGCCCCCTTCTCTTTCGTTTTGAAACTCGATAAAAACTATCTAATGAACGTGTCAGCGGAGGAGGGGCGCATAAGACGCATTTACTTGTGTCGAACACATTTTTTGGGAACGCTCTTTCAACATTACTAGCAAAAGTTCACGGAACTTTGCGCGAAAGTTAAGTACCGTAAATCTATCTCTGTGTGGACAAGGCCTTCCATTCATAAGAAATGAAAGAAAAAATTATGAAAGAGCAAACATAAATGTGGATCAACGATTTTAACTTCCGCCGCCGCGCCGCGCAGACCACACAGTGTTTGGCGCAATGCGTGAGGTATTCCGACAGTCTTGTAGGCGCTATGCGTTTCACGCCGACCGCTGCTGAACGCACTGTGTTGGACGCAACGCGTGAAATATTCACGCAGTCTTGTAGGCGCTATGCGTTTCGCGCTGACCGCAATGACCGCACTGTGTTTCATTCAATGCGTGAAGTATTCAAGCAGTCCTGTAGGCGCTAATATGTGTTACATGCCGATCGCCGCGCCGAGGGCTTCTCCTTTTCATCTCAAGTCCTCGTTATCATTTCTCTCGAAGTCGCGCCGTTCCAGGCCAAATTGCGTATTTGGTCTCTCTTTTAACTCGACTTATTGAAGGTGCTGTCTCTTGGATCTAAGAGACGACAAAATTAGGAATTACTATACTCTCAGTAAATGAGAGATTTTGTCGCCTTTTCTCGTTTGTAATTTTGTTTTTATAAATCCGATTTTTTGTATACCTACACTTTAAAAAATTGCAAATTTTTGCTGCCCCTTAGATTTGCCACCATGGGCCGCGGTCCATGTGGCCACCCCCTTAATCCGGCCCTGTTAAGGAGTAAACTTAGGAGAGTTTAGTGTTTAAAGTAGATTTAAGATTTTTTATATGTGCTTAGCGTCATTCACGTGTAGATCAGTAGCGTGGCGTGTATTGCGTTGTATCGATTGTTATGCCATTTAAACCTACGGTAAAGAATCGATTATCAAGGTGTTCGCTGCGAACACCCTGTTCATCGATCCTTTTCCATAGGTTTAAATGATAGATCAAGCGATATATCGCAAAGCACGCCACGCCACTGGTGCAGATTTCTCTATAAAATGATTACTCACTCGGCTGTATCTTTTGTGTGCAACAAACTCATTATGAGCTAATTCTGAGGCATGTCAGCTCAAAAATGTTAATACTTTCGTTACTTCAATTTTTACATTGAAAAATTGTATTTTTAGTCCTTCATTACTCATTCAAAACTTAGTATCTATATGATGTCAACGATGTTGTAGAATGTACAAGAGTTTTGGCGCGCCAGTTTTCAAGTAATGTCTGAAAATTCAGATAGCTCCACTGCCAAGTTAAGAGTGCCGCTAGATTTCAAAATAAGTGATAAGCGGAACGGAAAATCACCTCCATCGCCTTCTAAAATACTCAACGATTTTCTGCAGGCTGGCAATGATTTGAATGTGAGTGTTTTACGTACATGCTTTAGAGTTTTTAAACATATAACATTGCTTTCATAAATTTAACGAGCTATGTACATATTTTATTCTTGCTTTGAATGAAGCTGACTCATAATCGGTCTCTTGTTTTTGAGAAAGAAACCAGAAATATTCAATTTAGTATGCGTGCAACAGTGAAATCGATAACTTAAAGGATAGAAATTTCTCATCGAACTTTCATAAGGCTTAAAAGTTTTTTCATGGCGTATTTTATCCCTCTCAAACAGAAATGTATTCCTAAATTGTAATTTTGAACAATTGATCGTTTTAGAAAAAAAATACATTTCTTATGAAATTTTAAGGATGGGTTAACTTTACAATAGCATACTCAAATATTGGAAAAATATCTGTGCCAGCTGGAGGCTCCTATCAGATATTTAAGTAAAAAGTCAGATGGCACGAGTGTGTTTGCAACAAGTTTACTGCAGACATATTTCGTATATAAACTAGCGCATCAAGTAAAAGATGTACGAATTGCAAATCATTTCAACACTCTAGTTGAAAAAATTATAAGACAAATTTACATAATTTTTAAGATCATATTGCATGTATTCTTTTATGCTCATAGGTTGAAATTGTACCCGCTCACTCTCACGAAAATGGCACAAAAGTTGGAGTCCATCTTTCATACATTTATGGCCAACACTCATTGTCACAATTATCACTTCAGGAAAACAGCGATAATGCCTATTATCTTGTAGAGGTGCCTGGAGAGCAAATCAAAAGTAGTTTGAAGTCCGTCCTGAACTGTGGGAAAGACTATGCTATTTTATACGAACAAGTATTTGGTTCTTCCAGATACGGGCTCCTGAAAAGAGTAAGTTTAACCATGAAGTATAGATGTCGAAAAATGGTGTGAGGGAAAAATGCTAACTTTAATTTTTTTTTTGTAAATCAATCAAATATGATTTTATATGAGGACGCATGACGTTAATTTAAAAACCGTAGCTTGATTTTCGTCATTCATTCTCATTCTTCCTGTTATCCATTTTCCTCATTTTTTCAAGCCTTAAAACACAGGGGAGGGGAGCAATGTCCCTTCCAAGAAATAACGCCTGTTCCGCAAGTAACGCCATCGATCAGCACGTATTTCTTGAGCAAGAGCTACTTCCGGCAAGAGCTTCCTGTGTATAAATATTGGATAATTTTCCTCGCGATTTCCGGTCAAAAAGTAAAGGCTTGCCTTGAAATGGACCATGAGTTTTACAATTTTTCTGAGTTAAAAAATGTATAATGGGAACGAGGGAATCTAGGATTTCTCCATATTAAATGTGAAAAAGGTCGATTACCTCTAAAAATTATACATATTTGGCGTTCAAGCAATGGAATAATTTTACTAGCACCTGCTCTTATATGTTGTCTCAGAGGTATCCCAATAATATGTTACCTTTTTCAGAAGACCTCTGGTTGGAAACCGAAAATTTATCATGTGTCAGAAAACGTGTTTTCAACCTTGGATGCCTTAAAATTGGAGGCTGAGACAGCGAACGAAAAGTTGGTTTTGGTTTTCAACAGACCTTCATTCAAAAACCCTGAGGGCATGATCCGTAAACTTTTAAAGAAGGCTGGGACAACAAACTATAGGTGTGTAATCCCCGAATGGAATCTTTACATGTCTTACTATGGAGGAGGGGGTATTTACTTGTGCAAACAAACTTTCTTTGTGTCTCGGGCGGTCATTTACCTAAAGGGCCTGTTGCATGCAAGAGATACAGCCGCGCGAATAGACTTTTCAGAGGTTAAATGACACGAAAATTACGATGATCACATTAAAAAAGTCTGAAATACACTCCTTACTGCGCAATTTGCGTTGTTAGGAACGCGCTTTTTCAAATTTCCCGCGTCTGGGGGCAGTTTTCTAATCACCGGAAACGAGCAAACGGCGGGCTCGGTGATTTCCGGAAGATGCCGAGTCGTTGTTGTTGTTGTTATTTTTTCCTTCAGTTTGTTTACAAACCCAACGTGATCTCCTACAGTGGTCCATATACGCTTTATGCGGTAACCAAATCGATCAACTTTTAAATATCCAACGCAATCCTTCTACATTTCATTTCACGATGTCACGAGCTCCGATTTTTAGGTTATGTTGTCAGTTTTAGTTGACCGGAAATAGCCGCGAGTTGCCGTTAATTGTTTCCGTTAGAAAACTGCCCCCAGACGCGGGAAATTTGAAAAAGCGCGTTCCTGACAACGCAAATTGCGCAGTAAGGAGTGTATTTCAGACTTTTTTAATGTGACCATCGTAATTTTCGTGTCATTTAACCGCTAAAAAGTCTATTCGCACGGCTGTATCTCTTGCATGCAACAGGCCCATTATAAAGCTGCCGGGATGTTTTTGCAATTTGCCACATTGCGGTCAAGTCTGCCTCACAATTTTCAAATCTGCAAAAATGTTTTCTCTGTATATATTCATTATATTTTATAGAGACAAATCATTGTAATTACTTGCAAAGATTATACCTAAAGTTTCCATGCTAAATGTTACTTGGGATTAGTTCAAAATTTTCCCTTTAGTCAATCATGTTTGTAGATTTTATGAAATTTCCCTTAATCTCAATGCAAACCATCTCATTAACGTCTAATTATAATTCCCAGGTTTTTTTTCTTACTGGATGATCATGCAATTCCGTTTTCCCTTAACGAAAGCTTCTACCTTGAACAACTGGAGAAAGGAGTAGTGGTCAACGTACTAAAAAATGGGAAATGGGGCAGTTATCATGGTACGCCAATTCCAAAACCAGTCCCTGAAAATGTGGCCAAAATCTTACCCCATGTTGACCAAGTGTCCGAGGAGGTTGACCTTCGTTACATCGGTTTGAATCCTTCCGGCCTCCACAATATGACGAAGGTACCTTCCAACATTTTCTTCTCTAAATCCTTCACACTGCCTCTTCTCGACATCATACACAGACAAATCTGATAGATAATCTCCTCAAAGAAACCATCGCACATAGATGATTTCTTGCTGCCCCTAATTATTCTCATCGAGAAACATCGAGTCAAGAAAAGATTTTTTACGCATTGTAAAATTTCAATCTTTATTAGGCGAATTAATTACTCACCATGATGTATTCTTTCTATTTACGAAAAGTAGTGCTCAATTTCATCATTCACTTTTAGCATTGAAGACGCACAGTGGTCTTGAAGCAAAAAAATGCGACAAAAATGTACCTAAAACGGTTTGCAGGGGATGAGTCCATGGTACGTGTTGACTTGAAATCGCACAAAATAAAAATCTTGCCTGGTCCAAATTTCGAGGTATCACAATTTAAAATTATCATAGTAAATGTAAGTTTTCTACTGATTTTGATCCGTTTTTTCATTTATTTGTCGATTGAATCGGTGTTGATCGATTCACATTTTGATTTTTCGTTCGATGCATGTCGATCAAATGCATACCTTCTCGTTTCATGCAGATTTCCTATCATACTCTTTTTTTTAACTGAACAATTAGCCTTCTCCTGCGTCTGCAGCAATTTTTGTTACGAATATGTTGTGCGCGCTGATTTAACTCATTACATACGCGACTCTCTGAAGGCGTTTTGTAAACGCAAATAGCGCAACCTGTCGGAAAACAATCGAAGAAGGGTTTGAGCTTTTCATTCGATCTCACTTCTATTGATCTCCGACAGATTGCGCTACTTTGCGCACATAAAACGCCTTCAAAAAGTCGAGTATGTAATGAACTGAAATCAGCACGCACAACATGTTCATAACAACAATTGCTGCATACACAGCGGAAGGCGAATTTCTTACGCACTTTAAACGCCCTCTGATGAGAGTCAAGTATATCATGAGCTGAAATTAGCACGCTTATGCACAATAAATGTCAAATAAATGTCAAAAAAAGAAGAAAAATCAGTGAATCAGCGTTGTGTTATTTGAATACCGAAACCCTGAGTATAGTAAAACCACACGTTTTTGAGTACGATGTTTCTTATCATCTTAAATATTGTGCAAATTCGTCAATTGAAAATCTAACGCAATTTTATCACAGGGATCGCCGGCGATTCTGGACTACTCCGGGGTTACACCAGCGGCCGCTCACATAATAGGATTAGCTCAGAAAAATGAAGGATCCAAGAATAATATTCGTCTGGATTCGATTTTCCAATGGACTGTCTCGAAGGATCTTCCATTGGATGAAGCTGCTTCCCTTCCATCCGCGTATTTAATGGTTTGTATGACTTCATGCAAACACTATTGCTCATTATAGTAACTAAGTATTCACCATCTGCTCTGGTACACACGTCAGAGAACATTTTCAAACAAACGTATTAAAACCTCCTAAATCCATAAAAAATTACATTTATTAAGACCAGCAGTTAATTTTCCTTTTATATATTTAAGTGTCAGCTACACTTTTTGGTTATTAAAACATGTCTTTCAATGTTGCAAAATGTCTGCCTAAAAAATGATGTTTTTTAATATTCTCTGAAAAGTATGTTTAGAGTTATTTCACTAAGCAGATTTAGCAATTTCAAAAAACTATATTAGTTTGTTCTCTTAAGACATAATGTACCTAAGAAAATATCCAGCACTTTAACGCTCATGAAATATGTTTCTTCAGGACAGAGGAGCTAATGTCCTCTTATAGTACTTTAAATAATAATTTATTTCAGCAACGCGTTATCATGGGGAAAGATATGACATATTTCATGATGATGATAGTGTCAAAACTCTGATTGCTTTAGTTCCGATTATCACCGCTGGTTTTTTCCTTTCCGTTCAAGAATTATCTGCTATCTTAAGACCCTTAATACACTGGATGGCTCTGACTTTACATTTACTCAAAAATTACTTGATACTTTTGAAAGCTTTGAGACTCTGTGTCTGTTTATTTTTCTTGTCTGTTCAGGCTCATTTGATTTTGGAGGAAAGGATGGCAGTTAGAATAGTTAATGATACGGACGGAACGATGAAAAAGACAGCCTTCATTATGGGCGGTCAAACGCCTGTTGGTATGGCTCTCATATCTCTTTGCCTCGAAAGAAAATACAATATTTACACTACTGTTCCTAACGAAGCAGCTTATCAACTAGTGTCATTGATGTTCCCTCAGGTACGTGCCTTTGAGTTTAATTACTGGCGGGAAAAAGTATTTTACAAACATGGAAACTTAAAACCTCCTCTGCTCTATTCATTATCGAAACCCCGAAAAGGTAATTTCTCATTTATGAATTCAATTTGGAATTTTCAATGAGCCTAACGTGCGTTACATGGTATTTTGATGAGAAAGCATTTATTAATTATTGCTTCCTCCTCTCATTTTCCACTAATGTTTAAAAAAAAAAAAAAAAGCAGTATTTTAACGTTGGATTATTGCTTGTTCGCTGCAGATACCACGAATGAGATTCGATTCTTTGATTCTGAAGAAATAGTTTGGACTTCCCATTGTTGTCATATATGAGGAGGAGAGACTCATTTGACGGAAGTCGTATAAACCCGTGCTCACTTCTGACGTGCTGCCGGATGACGTCATTTGGTTTGCCTCGAAACCGGGGCGTTTCAAATTTGCGAAAAGCTGCTCTTTTAAACTGCGTATTTCTGGGTGTTTGCGTTATACTTTTTCGCGCTTTTAATGTGAGTACCGTGTTTTACGCATCATTTACCTTCCGATAAAAATGTTCGTAAGTCAAAGTTCGTTTTAGTGACCAATTGACCGAAATTTAATTTTTCAGATTCCCAGATCCAACATCACAGACCACAGCACCGAAGACTTTTACGTTCCGGTGATGTTAGGAACCAACGGCATAGGACCTGACATTATAGTGTGCGATGCACCTCGGAAACCGATGCTTACCGCTTGGTCGTGTATCGGCAAACACGGGAGTTTCGTCAACCTCAACGAGGAAACGATGCAACACAATGCACCTCTCCCCATGGGCAGGTTCAGTAAAGATACCGGTTACTACGGCCTCAAGCTATCCCAACTGGTGCAGTTACCGAAAGAACGAAAAATTCAGCTTCATGCGCTTGTTAGTAAAAGTCTCTCGTCTGGACGGATAGTTCATATGCCACACAAATCAGTGGACGTCAATAATCTAAGTCAGTTATCTAGGTATGTCGTTCATCGTGATTATAATGGTCACAATCTTTGTAATGAATGTGGCTTGAGTGAAACTGGCATGCCTTAATTTTAGTACCTAAGTTTGCTTTTCGTCCGAAATGCAGAAAAGTACTTGAGAATCGTGTGGTGGTCACGCACAAACATATTGCACAATGAAGCAGTGGCGGATCTAGAGTGAGTCGAAGGGAGGGGGCCTTTTGCAGGGGGGGGGGCACACCTCAGAGCAAGGCGGCCCGGGGGGCCTCCCTCGAAAAGTTTAAAAAAAATAGCCCCTCCCTGATGGAATTTTCAGAAGTTTTAGCATAAAATTTGTGCATCATTTGAAAGTTGAAAATTGACGAAATCCCTTTCAGAGTAATTTTATTTTAGGGTATGGACTATCTATTTCTGCGGTACTGATAGTGAGTAACCGGTGGTTTAGTGAACTTTGGTCATAAACTTCTGTCTCGATACATTTCAGTAAATTTTTAGGAGCACTTTTTTTGGCCCGAGGGGGGACATAGGACATGCCACCATGCCCCCCCCCCTCTTCCTGGATCTGCCACTGCACGGAAGTATGATAGAGGAATTATTGGTTTTAAGTTTAGGTTTATGAAAAAAGAAACACGAGAATTCGATTAATTAGATCTATAAATTACACCTTTTTTTCTTTCTTTTTTTTACACTTCAAATATCCCGAAGGGAAAATCTCACGCTTGCCGTCTCTAAAGCCCGATTTCCCCCTCGGTCCCTAATCAAGCCAGCCCCAGGCGACCGTTGTTTGAGACTATCAAACTCGGTACGGCCTGGTCGGGAATCGAGCCTGGGACCTACCGATCATAGAGCGAGCGCTACAACTACCACACCACAGGAGGCCGACACAAACCTAATTACAGCAAAAATATAGGATGACCTTGTTATACACAGGGGAAAAAAGCACATTGGAACTAGAGTCGAGACTTTTGAAAACATTGACAAGAAAAAATACTCTTGATTCAATCAGATTTTTGCTTAAATCAGAAGGAAATCCGCTAAAATTAAGAGGCTTGGTTCTTGATTTAAGCAAAAATCCGATTGAATCAAGAGTATTTTTTCTTGTCAATGTTTTTAAGAGTCTGGACTCTTGATCCAATGTGTTTTTTTTCCCCCAGTGCATTCGAATTGATTATCACTCATCTGCGAATTTTCATTTCCAGAACTGCTGAATTGGTCACAGAGCAAGGTGGTAAACTATTGCTGGACGTCGGTTCGAACTGTAGAGACAGAAAAATCCGAACATCGACTTCCGATAATAATTGTGACAAGCAGAGAGAACGGATTACTCCTAAGGATGCTCAAGTCTCCTCCGTCATCATAAGTATGAACCTCTTCAAGTATGGTCCTCAGTATTCTCTCATATGTATTCCTCTTTCAAAGTTTCTGGACATACTTCGATCTCTCACCAAAACACACATCATACGTATTATTATAAAAAAAATGTTTAGCTGTCATTGTAAACAAACCATTTTACCCAATTACAAAACACCCATAGCAATTAATTCGCAATGGAGATGTTGCATGTGTGAGGAATTCGAGATTTGACTGCTGATTCTTACGTAAAAGTTCGCGAGAAACACGATGGTGCCACTGGTTTTCTCTGAAATCATCTCCCAATCTCAAAAACAGCTCTCAACTTGAGGCCAAAATGGATGGGATATCCTACGCTATCTTGAGAGTCCACCTCTACATCAAAACAAACTCTCCATGCATAGATAGTGAGCAAATACATTAACAGGGCTGCCACTTTATTTGAGGACTCTAAGACTGAAGACACGGCATCCCTGCTTATGTATTCGCACGCTATCTTTGGCATGGAGAGTTTGCTATGTGATGTAGACGTGGACTCTCAGGATAGCGTGGGATATCCCCTCCATTTTGGCCTCAACTTGAAAGTTGTTTTTGAGCTTGGAAGATGATTTCAGAGAAAACTAGTAGCACCATCGTGTTTCTCGCGAACTTGTACATAAGAATCAACAGTCAAATCGCAAATTCCTCACACATGCAACATCTCCATTATGATTGGTACTGAAGAATCCACATTGTAAGTACCAAACCAACCGAGTTCCTGAAGAGTTGGGGGGAGTCTTCTAGAAGAGGTCTGATAGATAGAGCACCCCTCTGGAGTGAATATGAATTATAGCTTACTTGACCCCATTTCTATGATTTTATGACTGTCGCTCACTTCCAGCATTTCAATTTACCTCTTTTTGCAGTCATGATCAGTAAACTTTCTTATTAAAGAACGCTTCAAATGAGTATCTCTTTTTATTCTAGGAATTTAAAAATGTTTCGGAAATTTGGGAGACCCTGATTCAATTTTATTTTTCCGAAATAATTTCTTAAGGTAAGTGGAAGGTACGGGTGTGACCGAAACGCAGCTTTCCGTTCCTGTCACCAGAGGTGAGACGCGATGATTGCATTTCAACAATTTTGCAGTCTTGGCCGAAAACAAATATGACCGTCTGCTGTTGATTTCGTTAGAATGAAGATTTTTTTTACTTTCAATGATGCTGCTATCTGCTCATTTTTCTCATCAGCAGACTGTGATTGTTTTCGGCCGAGGCTGCAAAATTGCTGAAATTTAAATCTCGCGCCACGACTTTGACTGCGGGAACGAAAAGCAGCGTTTTGGGTAAAGAGGTCGGCAAAAGCATACCTACGTTTCATTTATCTTGGTAATTACTTGCTCATTCCATAACGTCTCAGATTTTCGACATGTTTCATATTGCAGCCTCAAGCGTTGGGAAAGTGGTAAAATTGGTCGACTGGTTATTACAGCGTGGCGTGAAGAATATTGTGTTATCGACCTCAGATGCGGGGGACTTCAAAGCAGCACTACGTACAATCAACAATGCCACCTCGAGGCATGAAGCAACCCTATTAATGACATCAGCCAAAGCTGCTCACTCTCCCGCTGGCGTAGAGAATGTGCTGAACCAAGCTACAAGACTAGGGACGATTTCAACAATATTTACAGTTTCGTTGGTAAATAATCTAAAATATTATACTAAAGAGGCTGGGAAAAAAGGGCCACGGCCCTAGTTAGAAGTTAGAAAAAGAAAAAGAAGAAGAAGAATAGTATACTGATACTGTATATTCATAATAAATTTTGACATGATAATGATGTGAGGGATACATGGTCCTTTTTCCACACAAAAATCGCAGACCTCATGTTACTAGGAAATGGACTTTTTTTCAGGATAATCAGCTCAGATATTTGTGCAGGGATATTTCTGATGAAGGATTTAAATACAAATGTCTTGTAAATACAAAGCATTACGAATCGAAATATTACACTTCGAGTGTGATCTCAAATATAAATGAATATAGAGTTACAGTATTTTCCCTCTTCCTTTCTTTCCCACTCTCTCTCTGTCCTAGACATATTATAAGTCTGGTTTCATTTGTTCCTCAAGCAGGATAAGAATGACACCCTCATACCAGTAATTCAGAGAGTTATGACGAGTTTTCCAAATGACTACGCGCTGATAAATATACAAGGAGAAACTTGGGCGTATGAGATGAAAAATATGGTGACGATCGTATGTAACGACGATGTCAGCTACTGCAACGTCCTGAGCCAGGCTTTGACCGATCCTGATAAACCAGCAACTTACGTTGTTTCGGACAAAAACTCCAGTAAAGACAACGACTCCGGTAAGAAATACGGGAGGTTATCAGGGTCAATTTATCGTTCCTATTGTCATGGGAACGGAGTTCCCCATGATATTACAATCGTTCCGTTGCTTTCGCTATGGGATTCCCTATACCTCTGCGACCTCGAGCGTTTCGCCCAGTCTCCGATTTTTGGTTGATTTTCCGATGTATCAAAAACCGTTGTATTTTTTACCCAATCGTGTCTCTACGTCAAGTTGTGTTGATTGCTAAAATTCGCTTTCAGCGAGTTTTTTTCCACCTTCAGATGTCGTGTCTGACTGGTAAATCTGCGCAGAACCACGAAGTTCCGTTTTTAGGCAAATTCTTTTTTTTGGGAGGTTCTGATTGGTTATTTTTCGCCATCAGTTTTCTGTTCGTTGGTGCAAAAGATCGCCTACCTCGGTGTTCTTGAGAAGCCGCCATTATCCCACCTCAAATTTGAAAAATAGAAGTAAAGAAATAATAACCATCTTACAAGGTGGAAAATTGTTCTGGAGGACTCGTTACGGATAAAGAAGTCAAAATCAGAGCTCGATTGATTGATTTAATTCATGGATACGCAAATATTGCCTTAGCTCAACTGCCGCGATCGGAATGCATGCTAGGATGAGCCTCGAGACGCATTAAAACAGTGCGAACCATGGCTCCTACAGCAATGCGCTTCATATCCCAAGCGTCAAGGTCTCTTGTGATAAGTCCCACCCATTGCCCGAGTCTTTTAAATGCTATTTTTACTCCGGCTCACGTGGATCCGTTATAGCCTAGTTGACTAAACCGCCTCGTACTTTTGATTAGATGCGGGCACCCGGCGATCGGGAGTTCGATACCCGACGATGGGTGTTACTTTTTAATTGTTGTATTGAATGTTTTAGACCAATCATCAAAAAATAATTAATACTAGATGATAAATGTACGAACATTTTCTCGTGAGTTAATATGTTAAACAATAATACTGGAATATACCTCCTTCATATAATTAGCCACATGTTCCCCCAAATTAATGACGTTATTTTCTTTTTTCAATAAAGTTAATTTGCATTCAACGTTCGTAAGTTAAGCAAAAAGTACCTATTGATACAAATAGGAAGACATGAAAATAGTATGTCTAACATTTCAGTTGTTTTTTTTTATTTATTTTTTGTTTTTTTGTTTTTTCAATAAAACAAATTGACTGGGACTAGAATCATCGTATCTCTGAAGACAAAAGCTAAGTTTTTTGATACAGAAATACTAATATATTCATCCTTTATATAATCAGGGAGATGTTGACCCAAATATTGATGTATATTTTCTCTGTTCGCCCAAATTAATGATGGTATTTTCTTTTTTCAATAAAATTAATTTACATTCCACGTTCTTAAAGCAATATTTTCTCCAAAATTCAGCAAAAAATAACAATTTATACCTACGCAAAAAGTAAATAAATAAATAAAGCAATGACATGAAAGTAGTATAGGTAGTACACATCTAACATTTCGGTTACATCTATTTGAATGAAAAAAATGGCAACGTAGGAAGCACATAGGTCACTTTATGATGCGTATTCGGGCATATGCGTAGAGTAAAAATATCATACTTTACGCCGAAAAAACGAAACTGAAAGTTAAATGCGTTAACTTCCATAAACCATACATAATCCAACGAAAATAAATAATTGGTAAATAACAGCTTTCTTGTATGCAAAGAAAAGAAATTAAAAATGTTAAAAAAGAGATGTCGACACAAAATTACATAGCCCCTTCAATTCTGAAGATACTACAAACGAACTGTACCTTAAAATTTTCATATCCCAGAAGCAAAAGTTCCCATGACGAATATTGCTATCGCTAGCGATTGCAAAAACCAACTTGTTCTATTTTTTTTTCTATTTCTATTTTTCGGATTCTATTTCCAATATGCGTGAGCAATGGCATTTTGCTCTACGCACTTTGGATTAGTAGGGAATATATCTTTATCTAGAGAACTTCAGGGAGGTTTCTTTTAAAAACCTCATAATTAGACTACATTCTACAATTAGGAAGTATGATTTTAGACTTATTTGTAAAAGCACGTACCTGCATGTGGATACTAATGGCACATGCGTTCTTTCTGAAGTGAGCCAAATATTGGCAGTTCCTAATTGCAAAATGTAGTCTAATTTATTCGTTTTGTATGATCTCAGTCCACTCGTATATCCGATTCGATTTGAATTCTACCTTAGTACCGGGCTCTTTATTAACCTTTGTTGATTTACATTCCTGATTGGGCTTTTTTCTAACTCTTCAGCGATAAAAAGTACAAATATGTTGAGATACGTGCTCAAGTTTTTTTGAAATGACCATGAAACGACTTAGCCGCATTTGTCGTACTTAGACAGTAAAAATTAGGGGCCGCAGCCCACATTTTAAGACGGAAACGTTGTAATGTATTTAAAAAATCTAATCCTTATTCGGAAAATTGACAGTGTCGAAAGAAAAATCAGTGAGATTTGACTTCATCGACACAATATGTGACGTTGAAATCAAGTTACGATGGTATAGAAACACGCAAAGCGCTCTTAGTAGTTAGTCAGTGTCGAATGCTCCGAAGACTGTGCAAATTTAATTTAAACTCCAGGATGCAACTATTCGGGCTCCATGGATGTCCGTGTTGCATACGCACGGAACGGGAGGCGTTTTGATTGTTCAGGCACTCGTAGTTTCGGCCGCGGCGCAGCCGCGGTACACCAACGGCGCATACGGGACCTTATCAATGGAAGTCGGACTTGAAATTTTTGACTAAAACTGCAAATTTTGATGTTTATTCCGTCACATTTTCAGAGAGCATTTTTTTTCTTTCTTTTTTTTTCTTTTGTCAAGGAGTGCTTTTAGAAGAAAATTTTACGAGGAAATCAACGAAACCACTTATAAAACCTCAACTTTTTGTATAATGCCTTTAAATGCGAAATTTTCAGAGAAAAATTTTGATGAATCGCATGGAATTTGGATAAAACTGATGACCATTCAACAAAATGGATCAAAATTCTAATTATACGTATATGATTTCCTAAGCGCAATTACGAAACTGCAGCACAATAAACTGCGGTAAAAATGTTAGTGAAAATTATAATATTCTCTGCTCTTTCCCTCGTACAATGTGGGCTGCATCTAGTTATTTTATATTTACCTGCCTCTAGTTCATCTTCCTCCCCACATGTATGCTTAACAACCATTCTCAGAGAGGCTCTCTGTCGCAGCAGCGATAGAATTCGCATCTTGTCTCTGCGATACGTCAAATTGTTTGCTTTCATATGTAATTGTTATCGTTACCCTTTCTTTCACAGACGTCGGTGTGCAAGAATCGATATTGGACTATCTACCTTCTTCTTTGCAAGAATTAGAGGAAATGGGAGAGTCCTTGTGTCACTCGGACTCTAGGTGGAGTCCACAGATTCCTGCTGCATTTATACAAACTTCATCGTTAGCAGCAAAATTGTCCAGCAAACACATAGAGGCCCTACCAGTGTTCATCATCCCTGCTTTTTGTGAGACGCAGCTGAGGCCCCTGCTGTCCAGATTCATGTATTCTTGCTACGTTGCTCACATACACCCGCAGGCAAATTCAGCGCAACAAATAGCAGAACATCTTTTTGCGGTTAGGACATCTCTTTAAAGGATGATCCAAAAATCCCGCAATTCAAGCACCAAGCATCACCTCTGTAACTCTCTAATAATTCGGATGGAGACTCGAAATTTTGCAAGAGCTCCTAGGTTAAAAGAAACGACTTTTGGGAGTCCCCAAAATGTCATATGGCCACCCTGAATTAAGTTTAGAACTTTGGAAGCTATGGGGGTAGTGCGGGATTTTTGGATCACCCTATATTATAAAATATGAAAAATAAAATTCTACTCTGATGATATTACATCTGCATCGGCGCAAAAAATGCTTGGGACAAATATTTGTTTTATAAAGTTCATTCAACCTTCAACGGAAAAATATTTTGAATTTTTGTACACATTCGGCGCCGCTTATTGCATTCAGGTATGGCAATGCTAGTTTGATTCTTTGTGACCGAGTGGCTGAGTGGCTGAGTTCGATTGGCTGACCCAAAAAAAAAACGACAAGAAAAGGAAAAGCGAAATGACGTAAAAATGTACTCACGTTCTTTTATCTCTCGGAAAATATGCGTAAATTGTAACTTGCTTCTGATTATCTCGTAACAAAAAGACGAACAGCGATGTTTGTACGTGAACCAATGCTGCCGATCCGTTCTGTGAAAAACGATTCAATTATGGAGCTGATTCCATTAATCTTGATTATAATGAGCGGCGCCGACTGAATTAGGTATTGAAATGTCGCAAGCTCATGGTCAAATCAGGTGGTTTGTCAAACTCATAATTTATATATATTATAATTATATATTATATATTAGTTTGTCAAATGCCTGTGCTGATAATATGACCTTAATGACCTGCAAATTTTTGCTTTGTCTCAAGCAAAAATCTCAGAATTTCAATCTAAATTAGAATTATAAGCCATTTCTAGGAATTAGACAAAATGAGCAATCTCTGACTAATAGCCAGCTTGCTCATGGTTATCAGCCAGAGACAGAAATATCAGTCAACTATTGGGAAAGCAAATCCAAAAGAAATTATATTTTGATAGCATTCAGTTTAATTGTATATTATTGAATTTTTCCATGTTGAAACTTTAAAATTTGTGGACTATTGACGTCAACTAACGGGTCAATTCAGATGTTTTGGGGTCTTAACTAACCCTAGAGTCCTTTTATAGGGAGATGTGAAACAACGCGGTTCAAGGATGTCACAAACGGGAATGAAAATTACACAAATTGAACGTTTTTCGTAATCTTTGATCAACTCATTTCCGAATTCCTGTCTCCGTTCCCTCTCTCATCCGTGTGTTCCTTGCCGTGCCTTTAATTATTTAGTTCATCCCAATTTATATCCCAATAATCTTTGCAATTGGTGAAAAATCGATCTTTATTACCGTTTGCGACATTGTGGCGACCTGCAACACGGGAACCAATCAGAAATGGATTCACATTGTCTTAACCCCTATTGTAAAGGGACTCTCCGTGCGGTGAGATCAAGAGCAGGGCCTTCACTTGGGTTCGGGTCGGATAGGCAACTAAACTAACTCTGTGGCAAGGCGTAGAGTATCCCGACTATTTGAAGGCGCTCCAGGCCGGCCGTGAATTTGCGGTTCTTTACCAATGAAACTTTCACTGTTCCGATCGAAGTAAACTGTTACGATTTGTTGAAAAAATTGACCGCTTAAAGAGTACCGATGATTACTAATTTTTTGCGACTTGCCGATTCTTTTACATGCATTTTATTGGAAAGATCCTCGAGTTGGATTCGTATTGTCTTTACTCTCAATCAGTGGCGTAGCGTGCTTTGAGATATATCGATTGTTATGCCATTTAAACCCATGGAAAATGATCGATAAACAAGGTGTTCGCAGCGAACACATTAATAATAGATTCTTTATCATAGGTTTAAATGACAGAACATTCGATACATCGCGATTCATGCCACGCCACTGCTCTCAATATAAAGGGACTCTAACCAATCCTATTTCCAACCGTAGAAAATAAAAGTAACTCTAGAAAAGAACTTCTGTAATGGTGTTATAGTGCATGAATGCTCACAGTTATTACTGCTAGCTTCTCGTGATTTATTTCCGTCATTCTTACAGTCTATGACGAGAGTCCAAAGCAGAGGACCCTACACGATAGTTGGCGAAACATGGAGTGGATCGGTGGCGATGATCCTCGCTAATCTTCTATCTGATTCTGGCCAAGAAGTATCCCTCTTCCTCCTTCAGGGATTCCCGAGAAAGATCAATGCTCTGTTACCTGATGAAGACTCTCTAGGTGACTGTTTGAGTGACGTCCTGCTCGGACTTATTGGAAAAGTGAGTGAACTATCGTTGTTTTTGAACGATCAAGAATCATTACTCGACATCTCATCGACAGTGAAACTCCAACACCACGAACAGTGTTCGATACTCACGGGCGCCAACGCACCAAATGCGCCTAAAAAATCGACCATGGCGCCTAAAAAATTATGTCTCTGCGCCAACGTGGCCCCTAAAAATCTGGATTTTCATAGGAAGTCACATAAGGAAAGAGAAACAAATCTATTTGAATTAAAAAAAAAACTCAGAATTTTCAGCACTACAAAAGAAAGCTTTTTCTATTCAGCACGATTTCATTCTTAGCGCTTTTGTCTTCCCAAAGTTACAGCTACTTACTAATTCTGTTAAGAAAACATCTTGCGTCTAACTTTTCGCTAAATGCGCCGTAATACATAGGCAAAAAGTCAATTTGGCCCCTAAAAAATCTTCAATGGCGCCTAAAAATCGGGCTTGAAGCGCCACATGGCTCCGAATCTCGTTTGCTGCGATTAAAAATCTCATAGATTCATTATTCATTCATTCATTCATGCATTCATGCATTCATTGCACCGCTTTAAAATAAAATTATTTTACTACTAATACATTACATTACTAATACATTAGCAATAGAGAAGGAGAGGTAGAATAATATATATATTAATCATTAGCAATAGAGAAGGAGAGGTAGAATAATATATATATTAATCATTAGCAATAGAGAAGGAGAGGTAGAATAATATATACATAAAGTAATATAGTTATTAATATTTAAGTGCTGACATAAAACAGCACTTAAATATACTAAATCTATAATTAAAAAAGATATTAATCATTAGCAATAGAGAATGAGAGGTAGAATAATATATATATTAATCATTAGCAATAGAGAAGGAGAGGTAGAATAATATATATATTAATCATTAGCAATAGAGAAGGAGAGGTTTTGTTCATTCATTCATTCATTCATTCAATCTCTTAATTCATTTTTTTGGAGGAGAACGAATCAACATCGCTTCTCCAAATCCTCTCAGAATTTGCCTCGCACAGAAAAGTACTCACGGAAGTTTTTCAGAATTGACGTTGAGTAGTTCTCCATTTAAAAAATCAAGTAAAACAAGATGTCTGCAACGTCGCACACCGAGATACGTGGTTTGATGAGGTTTCTCGGAAAAAATTAACACAAAAAAAGTAATTCCAGAACGTTGGACTACATTTTGTCTTCGCTGTAATTGAATATATGCCCGCGTCTTATGTTTCTGATCAGTCACAAAGCTCAGAAACCGATTGCAACAGAGTCGGGGTTGGGTTACGTTAGGTCACGCAACTAAACTAACTCCGCAGCGAAGCGAGAAGTATCACCCAAGTTGAAGGCGCCCAATTGAAGTTTCATCACCGCTGTTCTTCATTTTTAGGTAAATTTAGAGAGAGGAAACAGGCAAGTGGAGTCAAAATCATACGTTTTGATTTTTTGACATTGTGTAATAATTAAACGATTACCTCCCACGAGAAAGGGGGCCACGGAAGCAAAATCTTTAACTGAAGGATTGATGCCAATTGAGTGAAGCCAAGTTGATTTGAAATACCGGATTTGGAGATTTCAACGAAAAACTCCAACTCTTGTCCTGAACACTGCCGTGTTAAAGAAAAACGGCGTATGGGCATTCGAATGTTGCCAAATTTCCTCTCAGTAAAATTTATTTTCGAAGACAGTTATGAAAATTTTTCCTTGAAATGTTCCGACTTTTCGGATCAATTTTTATGAATGAAATCCTCTGAAAAATCGGAGGATATATGTTACCAAATTTTCCTAGAAGTTCGTGATTTGTCGAAGGAAATTGGACAAAACCAGATGGTTCCAGTGGCGTGGCGTGAATTGCGATATATCGATTGTTATGTCATTTAAACCCATGAAAAAAGATCGATTATCAGGGTGTTCGCAGCAAACACCTTAGTAATCGATTCTTTACCATAGTCTCAAATGGCGAGATATCGATAATCGATTATTCACGCCACGCCACTGGATGGTTCTTGCAGCGTTTCTACTTAGCCTGAAACAGTTATTCGGTTGCGAGTGATTTAATTCATTTCATGTATAGTAATGGAAGGCGTAAAGTTACATTTCAGTTCTGTGATTTTTGCCATGTCATGAAAAAAAAATTGAGAAGATTTTTCTCGAAATAGGATTTATTGAGCTGCCATCGCCAAACCATTTTGACTCCTCCGGCTTGTTTCGAAATTGTTGGGTGTTTTTGGTTCCAAAGTATACGGAATTTTCTGTTTTCCTCATTCTAGGAAGTACTGAGCAAAATGAAGGATTTGAATGGCACCCGGGGCTTTGAAACAGCAATGCAACTACTACCAAATAAATTCGAGAAGACCTTTGTCATGCGAGCGTTCCAAACCATCAAGAGGAATTTAGAACTTGTGAAGAGCATCTCGAATCAAAAAATTCGTTTACAAAATGCCTTAATTTTAATGGAAGTTAGTCAACTATGCAAGCTGACATCCGACGAAATAGAGGAGGTAGGTTGTCGGCTTAGTAATGTTCCTTTAGCTAATTGTAAGAGTAGCTAAAGTACTTCGCTGAACTTCACTAAAGTCGAATTTATCGACGATTAAGAAATAGAAAAGGATTGAATACGAGAGCATATCTTTTTTAATTTTTCACTACACCAGATTTTAGCACATGGGATATTTCGTAAATAACGGGCTTAATTGTAGATTAAATGTCTTCATCTTCCAAATCGATAAGTTTTGGATTAATACTAGGGTGAAATCGAAAAGTTTTGACCAAAATCTAAAATTATTTTCATGTGCAGCAGGTAATCAATTGGTTATTATTATTTATAGACATTTAGCTGGTGAGGCTATTATTATTACAGGCTATTCTTACAAACTTTCTGAAAGTAAGTAAGATTACAAAAAATTTAGAATTTAACCTAATGGAGGTGGAAAAGTTGAAAATTTTGGTTCCTGACGATATTTATGGTATGTATTTAAGGTCCCAAAGGAAATTATCAACTCTGTCTAAATCTCAGTGTTTATTTATCCGCACCAATCTACTAGATTGATTCATCATTTTCGTTTCATGAATGAATTTGCATACTGTCATACTGCATAATTCAGTACATTAAAGAAGGATTGTGTTTTGAACAGGTTTCCAACAACGCTCGGCTCGTTAAAATTGACTGCGAAAACTACAAGCAGATGATTTTACACCCAAGGTCGGCGAAGTTGATCGCAGAGGAAGCTCCATTTTCTTGGTGACGACGAGCGACTTTCAGAGTGACAAAGTAAGATGGTAACCATGACAAACTGTATAGACTAGAATAAGACCTGTATAAGTGTGTAGATAGCAAGCATAATCACAACATGATATTTTTTGAGTCCTCGTAAAGATTGCCTCTTTAAAAAGGACCTGCCTCATTAATTATAAATTAGACTCGAGATCTTTTACCACCTTTGTATTTTTGTAAAAAGATTTCACGGATTTTCTTATTTTTTTATTGATTATGTAAATAAAGTTTTGATTTGCAAGATTCATATGAAGATAAAGCAGGAAATTAGAATTTTACTCAAATGTGAAACCATTGGTAGAGTTTGAAAAATGAGATAGCATTCGTCCTATACTTCGTACAATTTTCTCGTCTAGTTATTTTCATGTTTTACATAGTCAATCGGACGTGTAATTATGCTAAAAGGAGCCTTGTGCATAGAATTGGGTGAAACATAGTTCCTTTAAGCATAAATACGTCCAATTGCGAAAAAAAGGATCGAATAAGAGTACATGATTGATCATCAGACCTTTTGTATTCGTCTACTGAGAAAGATAGACAATTTATGTTTCTTTCATATACTACATTATTTCAACAAAAGATAGCTTTACCTCATGAAAACAATAAATGAAATACGTTTCTCTTTATGCATTAATTTATTTCCGTGTTTGAGTTCAATTACAACTGAAACACTATTTCAGATAATTTTGAATAATTTAAAGTTATTGTGTAGCAACGAATTGACGAAGAAAATCACTTAAGGAGCTGCACACAGTTAAAAAAATATATGCTTCGAGTTGAGTGTGTTCCGCGAGTAAATTGTATGTACGACACACGAGAACCGAAGTGTGTGGTTTTTAACACATGCTCTGTATTATTAGCACGCTCAACTCCTTGGCGATCTAAAAAACACAATTTTGGCGTAAATGGATATCGGCTGTAGCATTCGTCGGTTGCCGAACTGCTCCTGTAGGCTTTTATTCGAGGATGATTAAAATAACACAAGCTTGTGTTTCATCGACCGAGCCGACTGTCCGCAGGGCGGTTTTAAATTATCGCTAGTGTGTTCCTGATTTTCAACTTCGGCTACCCGTTGAGGTATCTCCGAGGCGCTCTGGTTACTCCCCCCTAGCTACATCGGCAATGCAGCGACGCGACGACACCAGTGCTCATCAAAAAGTTTTGGTTTCATCGTTAACTAATTGTAAAATGTATATTTGGAACATTGCAGTCGTTTTTTAACAACTGAATTGTAAATCAGAAATTCATTATTTTCCATGTTGAGAAGATAGTACACTTCTCCGCAATGAAGATAGAAAATGCAGCGAAAATATCTATCATTTTCGAACGATACTTCGTTTAAAATTAAAGACATTCCATCAGGGGTGAATAGAATCCGTATGAAAGAAAACAATATAATACTTACTTATTGGCCGGAGCGTCTTCACGGCACTAAAATTTGATGATCTTACAACTCATAGATGTAAATTTAATGCACAAAATAATTTACGCAAGCCGCACTACGCCAAAACCGTTTCCAGACTGTCGCTGAACCGATAGACGGTTGTCACAAAAAATTAATTTTTTTCATCGAGTGTGCGGAGCGCGCTCTTGCTAAAAAAAAAAAAGCAGACCGTCTTTTTCGTGGAACCTGTCTAGTAACTTTTCTCTGAAAAATTCACCCCACGGTTCCATTGTTCCAGCGACGCAGTTACATGAGCTTCGTCAATAATTCCAAATCGGTTGTAAATATGTATCGTTTCTTGTGTTATAGGGCGAGCTATGGAAAATTTACGAATATTGAAACGATGTCAGATTCCTTTACATCAAGGACGGCTTTTTTGAAGATCGTCAGGAATATAAAATTGAAAATTAATGTATTCTGCGTTAAAATTTATATTTTAGGGTTATGATAATGCATTTTCCAGCACTGCCTCCTCAGTGAAACCAAGTCAAAATGTATACTCAGTTCAAACTCAAATCAATGAATTAACAGTTATTTGTTTGTAGAAATAATAAAAATAAAATTATACACTATTAAATATATTAAATATACCTACCTTTAAATTTTGACGCGGAGGTAATCAACCTTCAATTTTATACTTCTGAGGTTTTTTAATAAAACCGTATTTTTTCAGGAATTTGGCATCTTTCCGATTCCTGTGGATTTTCCATAGCATGCTTTACATAAAACATTCTACACAGTTTTTACCTTGATTAAAGGACTAAACTAAGTGTCATTAAAAATACAAAACTTGATACGGCGGCCACTGGGCTGTGATAATACTTTGATACTCTTTGAATTTTTTTTAGGAAGTTTGAAACACGATTAAATCTAACCTATCTTGAAACGTCAGCACATTTTTTTTACCTATACATGAGTCGTTTTTACGGCATTTTCTAGCACTCTGAAACGCACAAATGCCATTTGTGTCTGTCTTCCCCAAAGATTATGGAGGAACTTTAAATATTAAAATTTCTCCGTTGGTGCCCTGCCGCACTCCATTGATAAGACGTCACTTTCGCCTTCCCGTGGGAGGTACTCAGTTCAAAACTTATTTCGGTAACCTCTCATCTGACATTATTTGCACTTGTACATACCATAATAAATGCCCGGGTAGGACATCGTGCACGAGGTTACTTTTACTTATTACCTAATAAACTCCTTCCCTACCTGGTCGGTCCCTCCAGGAGAGACCCTCCTGGAGCTGCCGCCCGACCACCACCAACATTTTTATAACTTTCCTAAAAGTTATACTATCGGAGAAAATTTGGCAATGTCTGACTGCGCTTATACTTCATTTTTGCTGCTTAGCACGTCAGTATGATGTGCGTCAGAAAACAATTTTAGAAGCTTTTTTTTGATTAAGCGCGCACACGGAAAGGTAAAAAAACGGAAAGTGAGAAAATTGCCATTAAGTGACGTTACCGCATGGTTTTTCCCTTGTTCGTATAACCTCGAGAATTTTGCTAAATTTATCATCCCGCGTTATAAATCCTGCAGTGTGTTATCTACAAAAAGACAGAGGATAGTCACACTCACAGCACATCAGTCACAAAATTAGTGGATCGTATTGAGCATAAAAAAGAACCAAGTCACATCAGCCATTTCTAAATATTACGGGTGGCTTTATTTTTTACGGGAGTGCATATTCTTTCTTCTATAGATTTCAGGAGATTTTTTTGTGACTTGAGGCAAGCTCCTTAACATGTTTAAAGGAATCAGTGCACCTGTTTACTCCTGTAAAATCCTATATGTATTTTTTGATGAAGTGACTTGGTTACTTTCTACTTAATAAGGGATAATCGTTTAATGCCTGGATGCAATTATTCGTGGTATAAGGGTGGCGTGTTGCATACCCATTGAGGAGAGGGTGTTTTAACTATTTTTTTACTCACCGCTTCACCCGTAGCGCGGCGCACAAAGGGACGAGTTAATCGAAGTAATCGCAGACAAAATTTGGAAATTCTGTAAGAGTCTGAAACGAAGAGGATTAAAAGTGGCTCCATTGTTTTTTTGTGAAATTTCCGTGTGAAAACAATCATTTTAATTGAAATAAATAATATAATTTGCAATTTTTGTCAATAATTTCATACCCGACCCCTTCTGACAGCTCGTTCTACTGGGCGATGAAGGGCAACACAACGAGGATCCAAAATAGAAGGACAAGACCCCGTCAAGTCTTCGATCACACTACAAACGTACATATCTTAGGCACGAATAGATGCTCTACAAATTAATCATGCTCGGCATATCGCTATATCAAAATTGAAGCACAAAAGATGCTCATATATCCTAGACATATGTGTGCATTCACAAAAATGGTAGTGCCAAGGAAATGTCTCCTTAGTATAAACGAAGAATTGAATGAGCTGTAATAATTGGACGTATTTCTGCCAAACGGAACTATGTGCATTAAGACATGAGCCCTGAGACCCATAAGAATAAATTCATAACGGGGCTCACGTCATAATGCGCATAGTTCCGTTTGATAGAAATACGTCCAATTGTAGATCATCGCTGTAAAGTTCGTCATCGAGCAGCGTCGCTGGTGAAGCAGGTGATGCCTGGAGAGTCAAAACGCCTTCATCCCCGTGCGTATGCAACGCGGACATCCGGGGAGCGCGAATAGTTGCATCAAGGCGTTGTAATGAAAGTCGCTCAGTGCTTGTCGCACGCGTTACAAACTGAGAGCATTTTGCACATTTCTTTCACACCCTAACTTAATTAATTAACTTAAATTAACTTACCTTAACTTAACTAATTTGCGCTTTAGGGGATTGTACTTTTGAGCATTGGCGCTTTTGGAATTTTACATACACTGCAAACTTTTGCCGGCAAAACTATTGCCGGACCTCATCAGTTTTGCCCAGCGTCATAAAAGCTTTCCAGCGTCATAAACTAAAAACTGGACGTATTTATGCTAAATGGAAGTAAGCGGAAGTGGAAAGATGGGGTGTTCTTGTTAGTGCTCGGGCAATAAGAATGAATTGGAAATATAAAGCGCCATTGACGTCAGAGGCAACGACGGAAGTGACGACGATTGGCGAGTCGGTCTTTAACTCATGAGCCCTGTCCGCAATGCTCTTGTCAGATGTCCACGGCTCACGAGTTAGCGCTCAGTTCCTTTTGATTTAATTGAAAATCCCGCTTTTCCATTTTCTCAAAAGGAACTATATCCACTGTTACATTGATTCTGATCTAGCCTCCATGAGCACACCCCATCTTCCCACTTGCACATAGTTCCTTTCAGCATAAATACGTCCAACTATGTTTTCCTCCGCCTAAATCTCGATACGTTCCCTATCACAAGGGACATTTACTACTGCAATTCTCGAAAAGCACTTGAAATGGTATTGAATGGAAGGAAGTTCACATTTTTTTACGCCCTCAGACGCATGGAATGAGTTGTGAAGTGCGGGCTAAAAGGATCGACTGACCTTGTGTAACACGATATAAATATTGTGCGTCAATACTCACCAGAACCATTTAAACATACACAACACACGACACAAGCGCACGAAAAAATAACGTCAGTGTCGATTTAACTCATTCTAAAAAGTGCGTCAACTGGAGGGTTTTTAAGGCCACTTCGACGGCATTAGGTACCATAGGAAAATGTCATCACCTAATGACGTCAATAAGCGATTCACATAGCCATAAGTCTTTTGTACATATATTTTAATACAATTAACCAAATCGATTTTTTTTAAAAAAAATACTGCAAAATCAGCTCTTTAAGCACTTTTAGATGAAGCTATGAAAATTTGCGAAAAAATCCCCCATTAAAATATTATTTTCTTTACCAAATTTTACCATAATATATATCCTCAGTGCAGTACGTTCCAAAGACATCGCGAGAACATTGATTGTCCCCTAGTCCTAGTAAACTGCCTGGAAAAATTTTTCTGTACAACCGACGTACGCGGCACATTATTTAGCAATTGAAACTCAGGTTCATCGATGCTCGAGTTACTATAAAGTCTTCTGTACAGCGGGCACCGGTTGTTCATCGGTAAATAGGGCAGGTAGAACGCGCGCCCGAATGTCGTACCGTAGACGACGTAATCAACGTAATGCTTGCAGGTAACGTAACGGGTGATGGTAGACGACCGTAGCGTTTAGATAATTTGCGAGTCTA